TTTATTCATGAAACTTTTTTTGTTCATAAGTTTTTTATAAACAATGAGCGACGGATAAAACCTTCATATTATTATTCAGGGAGGTGACCTTGATAACATATGTCAAAATTGTTGAGATCGGAAAATAGTCCGTATAACTGCATAATTACCTAAGTATTATATCATTATAGTAATACTAGTATTATAAGTATTATATCATTATAGTAATACTAGTATTATAGTAATAGTATAGTATTATAGTAATGAAATCTATGCTGGTAACAATTAACATAAAGAATAAGCAGATAGAAAAAAAAGAAGCCAATAAGAATCAAACGCTATTAGTACTGTGTACATTTCAATTTTATTAATAAGTAAAACGCTTCGCCTCTTAATTTGAGCTTTCCTTCATTATAAGTAAGCACATTCTTCCTTTGCACTTAAATTAACTTTTACGAGTTAAGCAAGTTGTTTTATATATACAAAATTTGACGTTTTTATAAACTAACACTATAGTGTTTGGTACTTTCATCGGCTTCTTTTATATATGATTAGCACATATTTTTATACATGATTAGTATACATTTTTTCTCGGCTATCCTTTGAACAGCCATATTGGTTTGTGACGTCAAAAGCGGGACATACAGTAGAGTTTCTCATTTCTTAAGTTTTCTACGTTTTCCTTTCATGCTCGTCATTACTATTATACTTAACAATACCCTTAACTATACTATATAAGTATATTCGTAAGCTGATCACGCATGCGCAGAATGAACATAACCTTATCTTATGTACGCCGAGCATGACTCATGTCAAAAAAACGAGAATAAAAAGAAAAACTTGAGAAATGAGTTAATTCTATTATAAGATGCGTTTGTTTTAGGCGCTTTAGGCAAATAATTCACAAATCGGACTATCCGACAATCCGACCATCGGATTGTCGGAGATTAAATAGTAATGCGATCGTTACGAGATTTTATTGTACGCAAAACATGTCGTATAAAGTCCAGAATAGTTGAACTTTTGATCAATACAAATTTAAGTTTTGTCCGACACAAGTCCCTCACTTACATGTTTGCATCGACTCGGACGGTCGGATAAAACGTAAAAAACAAAAAATCTCAATTTATCTTCATCATTTCTTAAATACAACATAAAACAAGAAGACTGACGCTCAAAGCGCCTGAACGCCTAAACCAAACGCATTCACAGTATACAATTTTTATGACATGCAAGTTTATTTATTTTTTTGGTCCTCCCTCAAAAATATAATTTTCATAATCTTGAAACCTGTAAAATATGTCGCAAACTCTAATGTCTGTCTAATAAAACTGTAAAATAGTTCCCGAAGTAGCAATATTGTTTCCCCGCTATTACTGACAATCAGGAACTGCAAGACGCCGTAAAATGTTTTGATCTTCTGACAGTGAACGCGAATTCAGGGCCTTTATACTTATACAAGTTTGACTTATAAATTCTTGTGAAAACAATTTTGTTAAGTTTTTTGTTTAACGTTTAATTAAACAGTTAAAAAAACCCTATATTAGTGAAGAATTTATGTGTATATATGTGCATATATATATATATATATATATATATATATATATATATATCTGCATGAAGATGAGTGAGAATGTCTAATATAAGACAGTGCCTATAAGAACATGTTGCAATACATTTACTTATACTAATTGTTTTATTTTGCATGGAAATCTATAATGTTTGCAATTACTGAAAACATAAATTGTGTGAAAAAGTATCTTTTTAGATTAAATAATAATTATAAATAAACACATATCCTCAATTTATACATTAATTATTATTACATTATATTCTTTATATTTTGTTTTTTCTTTTATCGGCACAGTATTGTGTTTGTGCACTTGCACCAACCGTGCGATTTATTCTACTAAAGCATCCCATGTTCTGCAGTAAATATAGTAGGGTGACTGTACATACGTACATATATGAACATAAATACATATACGTATATGTGTTGTATGTATATAATATGAATAAATATTGCAATAATGATTATATTTTGGGATCCTTTACCAAATGAGACACAATAAATGCTTTGTGCGAGACGAATCTTGAGATGCAAAACTCAAACCCAACATAAACAACAGTATGAGCACATTCGTAAAAGGAAAGCGCGCTATGAAAAAGAACAAGGAATAAAAGGAGAAGGAGAAGGAGGAAGGTGAAGAAGAAGAGCAGAGAGATCGTGAATTGAGAGTAAAAGGAAAAAGTGAGAAAGAAGATCAAAGATACAAACGCGCGCAGACTTATGTTTGCCGGTCAGAGTTCCGCCGCGCTTGCCCGCGCAGGCAAGCGTGTACGCGCCGCCGTCACCACGAGTATCGTTTACCACAAGAACCTTAACATCTCTGCTCTGCCCCGCGTGCGCTGCCATCTCTCTTAAAACTAACCTAACCTCAAATCTTACCTTTGTAAATGTGAATCTCGATAATTTGTACGTCGTCGTCGACACTCTTGTCGCTCATCTTACTCTTCTCTTCAAGCAGAATATCCATGCACATAATTCCTCGTAGCCGTGTGAAACTTTTCACGCGACACAGTCACGATATCCTCACTCGCTCGTGACATTTACATGAAATCTTGGTTACGATTAGACAACGAAGAACGGGTGCGCGGGAAAATTCGTACGCTCCCGCGAGAAAGGGAGCTGGGAAGGTTCTAAGCGAGTGTCCAGTATCTACCACACATACCACAACCTCCAAGATCCAAAGACACGTTGCCGACTCTCGCGCGCGAAGCAGCGTTTTCAGCCGAGATGCGTTGATTGCGTCGTGTATACTAGTGTGTACTGGCGAGCTCTATGTACCTCCCGGGAATAGTGAGAGGGAGTGAGAGGGAACGACAGAGAACGTACAGACGCCGCGAAAACACACCTCACACCGTAGACAGTGCTGTAACGCGTTTTACGTGTTTTATACACGCCGGTGCGGCATCACACGCAAAGCATACGTAGTTCATTGGTGAACGCATGCCGCGCGATTTTCTATCGTTCCGCGTTTTCTACTGTTTTACTAAGAAACCGACTGGGGTTGCGACCAGACACCAGATTTGAATGTGGCACACGTTGCCAGTTCTTTCTCCCATTCCTCCCTTTTCCCGCTCTCCTCTCCGTCACTTCTGTCTTTCCCCTCCCCCCTCTCTTCTATCGTCCTTCTTGGTGTTTCTGCTTTCCTCTCCGCCATCTGCCTATATCAACCTTCCCCTCCGCCCTCTGTGCCCCCCGTTTTACCCGCTCGTTCTTATGTACTTAACGGTTGCGATGTTGCCGCACATCCGGTATTGCGTATATTGCTGCATGGTGGGGGTGCAGAATTTGAGGAGTGGGAGATGTACATACTACATAGGCGCCATATAATCGTGTGGTGGGGATTTATGTGGCATACGACGAATGGTGTGATGGGAGAGCGCACAACGCGGGAGAAGACTTTTGTACATAGGCTATATAAACGGATGTATATATACACACACACATACGCGTAAAAGAGGGGAGAGCTTTATCAGAAATGGAATTTTCCATGAAATGTGGAGGGGATCCGGGTGACCGTTATTTCGTCACGTGACTGAATAGAATTTCATATTCTGCGACGCGAACGCCCTCGCACTTCTAGAAAGTTCTTTCTTCAACCATCTTCAAAAATCGCATCAAATGTCATTAATATTAATATAACGCTTTTTAATTAATTTTCAATATGAAAACTAATAAATTAATATATTGTTTAATACACAAAGACTTGAGTTATAAAAATAAAAAAATAAGTTTTACTTGCAAAATATAAAATGATTTATTGTAACAATTTTTATAAATAATTACATATAGAGAGAGTAATGGAACATGGTACTATATGGAGAAAAACACGTATCATCATTACATATATACAATTAAACATTATTATTGTAAAGTCAATAGAATGTAAGTCATCATTATTATTGTACTACGCATTGCTCATCAAATGTTCGTTGTGAGGAATCTATATCTTTGGTAGCTAAAAGTCCTTTTGTACTTTCGGCTTCTTTCATCCAAATCTGTACCTGTATAAAAACATATATATTAACATCTTATGAAATATTAATTCAGAAATTTTCTATATATATATATATATTCTTATACAAGTGTGTTTAAATAACTAAAGTAAAGGTCCAGAAAACATTCTTAAGCATTTATGTAAAAAATTTAACTAGTAACAACACACCTATGTTTTCCTGATGTCTTCTAGGCCGATATTCATAGTCCGGCAAAACGTGATAAGATAAATTTAAGACGATCTTAAATGTAAGATTTGACTATGAATATCGCGGCCATAATTTAGTTTAAATAATAAATAATAATATTGATATTTAATTTAAATGATGAATCTAATAGTACACAAGATATGTACATAATATATGCACTGCGCGGTACAGACAGAAAATACACATGTCTGAACATATAAACATAGATAAAAACAAAGGAGCTCATGACTAACATCTGTTTTTTTATCGGACAGAGAGTCGTAACACTTAAATAAAAAGAGATACGTCTATATGTGTTTATTATTATCTCCCGGTTTTCCTCACTCATATTTTATATGCGATTAAAAAACGATGTTAATTCTCTAAAGATACATATATATAACGAAAACAACTCTCAGAAAAAATAGTTATTCGTTAACAGTTTCTGCGCTAAAAGTTTTTTGAAACTTTTTTCTTTGTTTAATTGTAAAGGATATAAACATTATTTGATTATATTCTTAATTTTCTATTCACATTGTGACTGTAAAATCATCGAGTCCGGCATGTGTTCTTTTAGAGATTTTTTATAATCATAATGCATAAAGTATCTAATATATAAGTGATAGCTTCAAAATATAAGTGATTATATTGATAAGGGTACGTCTCGTATATGCTTAAGCTTGACTACTTTTATTGTAATTTGATTTTGATTTAATCGCCGGCGTACTGTGTGTAGTTCTCTATGTTCTCGATCCGGCATAAATTAACAATTTATTACATAACAGACTTTAATAGTCATTTCATTTGCGTGTTTTATTATGTATGTATTATTGAAATATAGAGATTGTGCGCAGTATTTCACATACTGTGTATTAACTATACAATAGTTGCCGGCGTTCCTTAATATTCATCAATATACCGAAAATCTACAATTTAGATAGTTATACAATTTAGAAAATCTAAAATTTAGATAGTTACATGTACTATAAAATTTCAATGTTTACTTTATTTTTTATTCTCGATGATGATGTCACATTTCTTAATACGCAAATGGCCAAAACTGTTTCACACAATCAGCTTTTCTTGCTTTGACTACCTACGGAGTTTTGAGCGAAAAAGTCATTCTCTTGACCGGAAATATAAATTTAAAAAATATCTTTGATCTTTTTTCTCAAAATTCAGCAGGTAGCACTATGAAAAAATGTCTGACCGTTGAATCTCGAAAGGTCAAAAGATATTTTCTTATCCTCGCTTTTGAATGTCACGCAAGGATCTCTAAGTTTCACTTAAAATATCTATTATCTGAGCATTATATGTCATAAAATATCCTTGTAGATAATCATTGAATGTTTATATTATATGTTTGCTGCATATGATAATATTACATTAATCGTATATTCTACAATCAACAACCCGTAAAATTTGTTACGATAAATTATGAAAATTAATCTTTCTATTTGTATACATTACTAGAGATTATAAGTAATATAAGAGAAGTTGTGTAGGACTTTTTATCTTTTAGCCTTCACAAGTATAGATCTACTCTGTGCTCGTCTTACAATCTTACACTATCGTGGTTGTGCAGCGTGCAACGTGTGCATGGCGACACTTCGGCTACATTTTCAAAAAAACAGGCATTACTGAAAATCTATTAAAATCGCTCTGGACTGAAACACTATGTAATAAATGTTACGTGTGAACTACAGATTTTTCTATTATTAGCAATGAGTAAGAAAGTTCACGCGCAAAAAAGTTAGCAGCAATGTGTAGCGCACGTGTGTGCACACATGCGTCTAACTGCTGATGTATGCATGTACCTTATATATAAATATAAATAATGTATGTAATAATGTGTCTATTTACATGTGTATATATGAATGTGTATATTTCTTAAATTTTTGAAAATTATGATTAATTTTGTGAACTTAAATTTGCATAAAAAAGCGTGATAATCCGACTCAAGCAACTCCTAACCTGTTTATGCAGCAATTCTCTTCTTCGGCCTAATGGTTCCTTACCCAATAAAGGTACAAGTATGCTCAAACAAGATTGAAATTTTTCTAGTGCCAAAGTGTAATTACCCTCGGCGAGATACTGTTCGGCAGCTTCTCCTATCTCAAGCGCATCCGTCATACTTGTAGTACTTCTACTGAGAGTTCCTGTATATGTTTGATGTTAATACTTTTTTAACTTTCGCGTGTTTACGAACAAGAAAGTAGTAATTATTAAAATTGTGTACTTGAAAAGAATATTTTATTTTGAAAGTTTTAATGTGATACAAACGTAATTCGTTGTACGCGAATGCCGAGTTCTTCTCTAAGGAGGATACTTTTTGAAGCGATGTGCCTTCCTTTTTATTTTCCGATCGTAGACACTTTCCATCGTTATTATCTATAAATGCCACTTTGAGCGTTTCTGCTCTTCTTATGTAATCATTCACATGATGTCGTAATACTTCCTTACGTTTTAAATCGCTTTCGTCTGAATCAAATATAAACGTGCAGTCACAAGACAAAAAAAAATGTATTACTAAGAAAATAGGAAATTGGTTCAAAATAAAATTGAGTTACATGAATGTATTACGGAATTTTTATCCGTGAAATACGTTGCTCTTACTTGTCAAAATTGGAATAAAATATCTAAGAGCTTCGCAATACAGGTAAAATGCTTCTTTTGGATTTTTTTCGGCGTCTGCTTCAACGGCCTTGTGCACTAATGTTACTGCCTTATGGTAATTTTCTTCCGTCGGCGCGTGTTCTAAGTCCAGAAAATCGTGCGCGAAAAACTCGTCGTACGTCATCCGATCGGCAGGATTATGCTTCAATAGAGCCATAAGTAAGTCCTTACACATTGGAGACACATGAGACGCCTTTGGAATCTACAGTGCGAATAACATCGATATTCATAGATGATTCATATGCAAAGTTTTTTTTTCGATTAGAGTATGTCGTAACGAGAGTTTAATTCGCATGTTATTTATTCGCGTCTAAGCGATCGATTCAGTAACTTATTTATTTAATCTTCGAAGAACGGAGGCTGATGTCATTATCGATTATTATTATTTTATTGCAATATTATTATTACTATTATTGTCACTTTTTGTTAAGAAAATTTATATCTTTTTAACGTGACTAATTGAAAATCGAACAAAAATAATTAATCTTGCAAATATTAGTCTATCTATATATGGCTTTGTGTGAAAATTACAGTGTATATATTTTATTAGAAATAAGGAAAATAACTTTGACCTCGGTGGATTACCTCAATAGGTCGGCAATCCTTGATCTTTTCCGCAAGTTCTTGAAAGCTACTGCTAGAATAAGGAGCCTTTCCAAAAAGACACTCGTACATAATCACTCCGACGCTCCATAGATCGACGCGAGCGTCATATTTATGTTTTAATAACATTTCAGGTGCCATGTAAAGAGGCGAACCACGTATCGTGACTTTATGTTCCGAGGCGGAAAAATACTGCGCAAAACCAAAATCTAAAATACCGCAGAATAATTTATTTTATCTATGAAGAAAACGAAACCGTAAATATTGTTAAAGTTATATCTTTTTTATTCTAATGTTAACACGTACAGTATACAGTTGTTTTTCGATTTATCGTCTTATTGGAATCGCTCGCTCTTGTTATTTGTATTTTTCGTAAGCAATCGAGAAAAGTTTGAGAAATAAAAGCTCGTACTCTCCTTTATGTCTGTCATTTTTTCAAAAAAATATCGCAAACACAAACCGAGAAACTACTGTATACACATCATATACGCAAAACGATACGCGTACAATACACACTTATAAAAGTAAAAGAATTTCTAAATAATTTCCCTTTTTTTCAACAAGAAAAACATTATATAATTATTTACACATATTTATTACCGACCTCCAACTTTGAGTACTAATTGAGGTTTCCTCATTAGCAATAAATTCTGCGGTTTAAGATCCATATGACAGACATTATGTTCACGAAGATATCTCAGTGCTAATGCGAGCTGTTGCAAAAATCTGCGGCAAATGTTTTCAGGCAGTTTATGCTTTTTCTTTATAAAACTCGATAAATCCCCGCCGTCGCAGTATTCCATGACGATATATATATTCCTGTATATACAGTACATATATGTACGTGTACGCGTGTTTGTGCGTAGAGTGATCCATTATAATAAACAAATAGATGTATTTCAGCTTTTGTTCACATACAATATAAATACAATATAAACAACATTTATAAACAAGCATTTTATAAACAAAATAATGAGAAAAATCAATACTGCAAAAGAGAAGAGTTAATACTACAAAAAGTATTCCATTTAAAAAAATGAACTTTTTGCAGTTTCCTCTCCATTCACATTTTATCGCTATTCTTAACGTCTCTATTCTTAAAGAAATTTTCTTCTTAAAGCCGAGACACAGACTTTTGCATAATGCATAATGCATAAGACATAAGAGAATCAACCAATCTAGCCTCCCATTTCTATCCCCACTTCTCATTCCAGAAGGCTCTGATTGGTTGATTTTCTTATGTCTTATATGTTATGCATTATACAAAAGTCTGTGCTTTGATCCTTATTCTTAATCTTCTCTCAAATGATCTTCTGCCTATTTTTTCTACGTGTACTCACTACGTGTAGCATACCTTGCGCACACTCACTTTGCGCGTCACGCATGTGCAGAAGAAAAAAACACTATATGAGCAAGCACAAGCTTTTTTGCGACAATCAAAAGGTTTACGATTGAAATTTTCTTATTTTATCCGCTATCAAAGAAATATTTGGCCAATATGTCTCTTATTTTACTTTTTCAAGACAATTAACTTTCCCCGAGAAAAAATCCCCCTTCTAATCGCTATCTCGTTTAAAAACAATATCCGGAATCAAAAATGTTGAGTTAGTATCTAGTATTGTAGTTACTACTATGCATGGACTGTTATCAAAAAGTGGAAGGAAAAATGTAAGATAAAAAATTGAAAAGAGAAACTCGACTGTAAAATAATTATCATCACAGACAACTTTGATTAGCAAAAGCTTTATTATTTAAAATAGCTGAAATATAGCTACTTATAAAATATAATGAGTTTATTTTGAAAACGTATTGTTTTCAGAAGAAAAAAATAATGAACACACAAAAGCGGTATATCTTACTGAATATTGCCTATGTAATAAATTTAATTTATTTATAAATATTTTACAGCAAAATATTGCACTAATGTATATAAAATAAAATTTCATGCAACAAACCCTTCGTCCCAGAAAAAGTCTTTCATCTCTACAATGTGCTCCTGTTTGAGAACATTTAACAGCTTAATTTCCGTCACCAGATTATCGATTGCCGATTTAGAGAGTGAGCTTTTATCCACGCACTTGATAGCGACTATCTCTCGACTCCCGTCCTAAGAACGATCATCGAAAATTGATAATGATTTTGGACTTTTAGCAGTGTTTAACAGTTGATTTTTACATTTTAAAATGGCAAGTAGCAATAACACTAGTAATTATTTCCATGTGATTTGCTAAACATTTCATATATATATATATATATATATATATATATTTTTTTTTCATCGTAAAACATTTCATACAATTTTCAGTATTATAAATATCACATATTTAAAAATTTAATACTCAAGGCTCGAAAAAAAGTAGATCCAGCACTGCGGATCAATACGTCACCATCATATGTTTCCGCGGTAATATGTAGATTATATATATTTTTAAAAACAAATAAGTAAGAAAATTCTCGTGATAAGGTCAAGTAAACAAGGTTAAGGCCAATACGAGAAGTACACTGGATGGAAGTGTGTTTAAATCAATATATTTAATATAACCATACGTTTCGATCCCTG